GGACCTATAAGTAGGTTAATAACCCCTATAACCCATGTAGTAACCCCAGCCTTCCCCCTTATTAACCTACTTACGAAGTTTCCCTGACCCTAAAAGTATGGGGCTTACAATTGCGGTTCTGCACTTACTACGTCAAAAGTTTATCCACATGCAGGCATGGCTTGGGTTTGTGGCTTTGGGTTTCGGGACTTTAGGGGTCTAACAGAATTTCTTAGGGATGATGATGAGCGAGTGCCATCCAGTTATTAGTATGGCTGGACTATCGGTGGAGCCTGAATACCAACTCAAAACGGCACGGTCCTCAGTGTAAAGACGCAGAAACAAAGAATAGCTTCTTTGGCACATTCCAGCCAGACTTGACTAGATATCTGGGATGCACGGCCGGCTTGTCAAATTCACATCGGCTGCCTGTTGAACTTTAGAAAACCCAAAGTCCAGTTCCCATGCCGCATCAGCATCCTCGAAATATGAGGAAATCATGGCAAAGTATTTGGAAATTCTGTATTCAAGGTCGCCATGGGATGTTTTGAGAAGCCCCACGAGATCGGCAAGCACCGAGTTTGTAACACAGAGCGACCACATGGATCTGGCCTGCTAGGAGCTCCCACAATCACAACTCCCAGCAGACTTTATGTTCGCTGCCTGAAACGACGCGGGAGGGAGATCGAGGCGGGAGTAAAGCTGGAGGCTGTTACTGCAGAAGCCACTGTATAAAGAAATGTGGAACTTCCGGAATCTTTGCTTCAACAATGACCACTTGTCATGACAGTCGCTCTGCTTTAAAGTAGGCACTCGCCGGTCTGGTCGTAGAAGTTGTCGCCCAGGATGGAAAACATGTCCATGCTGGGATCCTGAAAGCAACGAATTCTGGAGTGTAGCAGTATGGTAGTTTCCCAAACTAGGGGGACCCCAATACAGATCCCATGGTACCCTAAAATTGGGGACATCCCCATTCCCGCAAAGTCTAAAACTCTGACTGGCCTGGTGTTCGGCAGAGCCCGCCTACCCTCGCCCAGAATAACAGGAAACCCCATAAACTGGGTTGCTGTTAAGGAACTTAATCTAAGTTGCTACATTGGGGAAACCAGATTAATTTCTATATATATATATATATACACCTATTATGGTAACTGAGTTAAGAACAGCAACCCAGTAAAGGGCCTTATCTCCCTCCTCAATGGAAGCTTTATTGGGCTGCACGTTAGATTTTGGGGAAGGTATCCTACTCAGGGCCTCAAATGCGGCATTGAGCATGGCAATGGAGTGCTCGAAGGTGTTGAAGAGGCTTGCATAGGCCTGAGAATTTATAGTCCCCCTTAAATAGCTAGAGTATGGCTTTGGGTATGTTATAATAAGATCCCCACATACCCCCTACTGTATTCTATCTACTTTGGGGGACTATAGCAGGATGGGAACCTCATAATGGGGTTGACGGTTCGGGTTTGGGATTTACTTGGAGGGACAGGGGCACTTAGTAAGTAGGTTAATAGCCCCTATAACCCACATAGCAACCCCAGTTATTGACCTACTTACTAAGTCCCCCTGACCCTCAAAGTAGTTGACAGTCTACACACCCGCTAAAAAGAAGCGCAAATTCAAAGCACTGCTCCTCCATAGGTATGCAGTCCGACCTACTCCGTGAAAGCATCGCGGGTAACCCATACTCTTCCTGAAGCCCTGATGGAGATCCAAGGTAACTTCTACAAGCTTTTCTGATGCAAGAGCCTAGGCCCCTAAAATAAGGAACATCATATGGCGCTAACAAGGTGCTACTGTGGGGTTGCAGCTACCAAAATCTCTTATTACATAAACAGACAGCCTGGCCTTATAGACCCATATCAGCCTAGTTTCCATGTCATTCTCATGCTCTTTTCCATGTCGCTCTCCAATCTAATCACGAAAACAAGCTAACCCGAAACCCTAAACTGGCAAACGAGGCACGCAGCCGATCCACTTCGATGAAAAGCAGGGATCCTCAGCCGTGTAAATTAAAGAAGAAACACGGCAATATTAAAAACAAAATAGTAGTAATAACAAATCATAGCAGTAGTGACAATACTACTTATCTCTAAAAATATGACTAATAACAATAATAATAAGCAACAGTAACAGGAACAATGTGTAACAGTAATAGTGTAATAGTGACCGTGTCAGTTCCTGACCTTTTTGAGGGCTGGCAAGGAGAGCACTTTGAGAAAACGGCCCAAGACAGCAGCAGCAGCAGCAGGTGCCGTCCTGTAGTAGACGCAATGACAAAAATCATCATATTCCACCTGCTAAGACGTATCATCTACTATCACAAATGAGTCATAAAAGGTGACCCCTTGAAGAAATGAATGGCAAATGGAGCTGCTGCCCCGACCAAACAGGAGTTCCAATAACCGGCCCCGAACGACTAGCTCAAAAGCCATATATGACATATTCTCCTCAGCTGGGCACCCATTACACTTTCCAATTTTCGTGAGCAATCCTATATACACTCACCAAAGGCCATCATGATAACCTACATCATATGCTTAATGAGGGGAATCTGGTAACCCCACCTCCGTTTAGGACCCCATGATAGTGATATGATAGCGACTGATAGCTATAGCGTCCAAATTTGGGGGGTGGGTTTACAGGAATCCTCGTTTGGTGGCAAGCATGTCTTCAAGTCGAAGATGTCCTTGCCCCCTTGGGCTTCCGTACAGGAATCATGGCAACAATAATAGCAATAATAAACATGATAATACTAATAGTAGTAACGATAGTCATACTGTCAATGCAATGCAATTCTTTGTAAAGCCCCCTTCTCATCCCCACACACTGAACACACAGTCTCGACCGATCCTTCAGGACACTGTGGGACGCAATTTTCTGGTTCGCTGGTAAGGAACTTAATCTAAACTACCATGAGGGGTATAGATAGCAGTTGATATGGTCTCCCCAATATAGTAACTTAAATTAAATTCCTTTTTTGCATCTGGGCTTGCACATAGCCAGAAAAAGCTTCCACCGAGGCGTGCGTGGGAGCGCAAGCTTTCATTGGCTTGACTTAACCTGAAATCCCTATATTGCTCAGTTCCATCTTATTTTCCGTTTTCTATTCTCTTTGATTCTCCATTATAGGAGGATCATTTAGCAACTTAAGTTAAGTTCCTTAACAGCAACCCAATTTTGTGCGTCTGGCGGCACCGACCAAAACACTGCACGGATTCCTGCATCCTCTTCAGGCAGCCGGACCTCTCTCAGGATTGAGTTAGGGGCTATGCATCCTCGAGTAAGACGAAAAAAGACCTGCGTCCTAGAAGCTCCGACGTGTCGTTGTAAGGATGGAAAACAGACTTAGAGGCTAGGGAATGTATGTCCCGACACACCAGCAGAAAGGTTTCATCAAAGAGTTCCCTTTCAAAATCCGCAAAATCATAACAGCTGTAGTTGCCGCTTCAGATCATTGATATCTATCTAGTAACAGGTGCAACAATCCTGTCACATCTGGCAGGAACAATCTAGAAAAGCTTTAGTGGTCCATAAGAACAACTTACAATCCAGTCCTTCTGCGCTCTGCTTGGTTACATACCTTCATGCATGTACCCAACCAAGCCAGATGTACCTTTAAAGGGGGATATACGGGGTTATATAGGGATACATAGGAATTATAGGGTTTGGGGTTTCCTAAAATTAGGGGTACCTTTTTGGGCTCCCCATAAGAAGGACTATCGTATATTGGGATCTATATTGGGGTCCCTTTTTTGGCAAACTACCAAATACCCTGAACGCCAAAGAGACCAGGACCATCTTGCCACTGCTCTCCACGGGTGGCCTTGACACTCTGACCCCCGATCTTCAGCTTTTCTGTCCCAGGCTTTACATCGATGAGAGCCTTGGATTCTGCAAGCTTGCTGGCAACGTGTTCCCAAGCCTGAAGCAGGAAACACTCCTTAGCAGTTGACTTTCCCAATCTCCGCACTCTGTATGGTTACCCAAGTATTGGGTGGCCCCTTCTACCGACACTCTGGTGACTCTGGTGGGCCTATGCTGACTCCTCTTGAAAGCCATGTACTTCTGTCCACCTATAACCTGGCCTTGCTGTAGGGGCCTTACGGTTATATTAGGGTTATATTGAGGTTTTATTGGGATAATGGAAAATGTAATGGAAACTACTATTTAGGGTTAGGGTCTAGGGGAAGTAGGGGTCTGGAAACTGGCAGAGTAAGAGCAACACCTCCCAAAAGCCGAAACCTTGCCCACTTTCTGCCCCATGCTCTCAGATATGGTAGTTTCCCTACATAGGGGGATGCTCAGATGGACCACTACTACTATAGTCCTCGTTGTAAGGACTCTCAACTGGACCCCGAATTCGGGGAAACCCCCACATGCTTCTTAGAGCTGTTCGGATTACCAAGGCCACTGACAGTCTGCAAAGCTCTGACTTTTGCTGAGGCTCAACTTTGCAAAATGCACGCAACACAGCTGAAGCACCTTTTCTCATAGGCAGGGCGGAAAAATGCAAATGCTTTGCTTTAACGTCGAACCATGGAAGAGAACCCCAGAAGCAAAGAGCTGCGCTCTCAGTGAGTTGGAGGGAAGTCCATGGCCACAAGAAGCGTGCAAAACACCAACTTCATTTAATCTCAAGCTGAAGGCTTTCCTTCAGGATTTCTGGCAGCAGCCGCTGCCGCCGCCTCCGCCGCCCCTGCTGCTGCTGCATGAAGCAAGAGATGGACTTGGTGCTCTGGCCTGCATGGACTGTATGAGCCTCTTTGCCTGTGTCCTGCAGACTGCCGGCGCCATGTGCAAGGAGTGGCCATCCAGCTTGTTCTCGCCCTTGCCAAGCACGCTTCTGGCTGCTGCTCCATGTCTTGCACCGCAGCTCAAGTACCGCAGTAGTACAGCCTGAGGCCTTAGCGGTTGCCTGTAGTGCAGTTGCTGTTGCAGCAGGCGCGGCCGCTTACAAGCAGCTCTTAGATGCCAAGGCTGCAATTCCACAATGAGCCTCTCCCATTTCAGCGTAGACTCGCCTATGGAAACGTGAAGTTCATCTTCTCTTCATATTGGAGGCGCAGGCAGCGGGCTCTTCTCAGCGCGCCGTCGTACAGAGAACTTGGCTGTAAGGTCTCAGGTCTCGAAAACTTCTGTTTTTGCTCCTACCGTGCTACCACAATCGCTACCTCTTTGGGTTGTACTAATTACCATTTTGATTGGTGCCAGTTCTTTCTGTGGCGGCTTAGACCAACACCGTTGACAGCAAAGAATGGACAGCAAGACTCATTGATACGGCCGGCACATGCATAGAAGCCTTGGGCGGGCACTTCCTAAATGTGACGTCAAAGGCTTAAACAAAGCTATTCGAACTGCCTTATTGACTAAGCCTAGGGAACAAGCTCGCAGCCAATCCCAACCACCGTCAACAGCATCACCACTGCCACCAAGATCAGCAAACCACAGCATACGAGCTGTAGTCTGAATTCCTAGTATCCCCCTTAATGATAACCTCGATTACACTCCCAAATATTATCCCCTATATGACCCCCTTTGGGGAGTTCAGAGCCCTAAACCCTAAACAACCCTATCCCCCAAACCCTATATGATCCTCAATATAGCCCCCTCTGAGGAGTTTAGATTATAGCTAACATCTTGAAAAAGATCCCGAGATTCCCTGCGTCATCCCACTTCTGCTTCTCAGCTCGGAGCCATTCCTCTCCACACAGCTCTTTATTACGGGTTTAGGGCTATGTTAAGCGCTGGCTTGTTTCAGTAAGACTTTGTATAGCTGAAGCGAAGCTGATACTCGACCACTAGCAGGAAAATCGGGAAAACCTTGTAAATCAGCGGGCCTGTAGCACATGTACAGGTGGGCTCACAAAACTGCCCGGCGAATACATGTCATGACCTGAAATGTTTGCGAACCAAGAGCAGAATACTATAGCCTACGCTACTATATACAGCACCCTTAAGCGGCTTCATGGGCCAAACAAGCCCTGTGCCTCATGCTGCAGGAGCTTTTGCTGCTTCTTCTCCAGGCGGGCCTGGATCAGGGAAACAGGGTTTAGGAGCAGTACAAAAGGAAGCAGACCTTGCACTGAAATACTGACACCTGGCGGGTTCTCAAGACAGGGGACCATTGGGGCGTATGCATGGGTTACATAAGGATCATAACATGGGTTGCTTCTAGACTTCTAGAACTGTGTGGGGGGGATCTTTTGAGAAACTCCCACGTCAGCAGTTGCCGAACCTAGATCACGACCTGAAGGGCCTGGAATGCCAAGGACTGCTTAAACCCGAACATCTCTCTGCATTGTCATAAACCTGGCCCCGGCCGGCTGTTGAAACAACCCTGGCTGAAGGGTGGTTTGGTAACCAAGGCGGGTGTCAAAAAACTTCTCTGAGCTTTTGTCAGAGAGTTGCGGACTCCATTTCACAGACGTTCCACGGGGCTATTTTGCACGAATGCACTTTCCAAGAACCAGGGAGCACCTTTTGAGCGCCACAATCCCAGAATGCAGGCTAGCGTGGCTGCTCTAAGAGTAAGGAAATATCTGCTTTGCTCTCCTGTTTTTCTGTGACCATGACAATGACCATAACTTCGGCAACCCCCCCGGGTCCGGGCACCTTCCGCGCAGTGCCCAACAACTCAGCAGCGAAAGCGATCATCCCGCTGGGACCTACCCAAACCTGGCCAAATCGACCTCGGTGCAACTTCAAGGCCGAAGCCATCAGTTTGCTATCAACTTTAGTTTAGGAGCTAAGGCGTACATCAGCATCATGATCCACAAAGCCGCCCATACAAGAAGTATGCCATGAAAGAAGTATGCCATACGGCAGCAGAAAGATGAAGCTGCAAAATTGTGGCACCTGTCCTTTCACTACGCCTTTGCCTTTAGAAGCCAAGCCACTCACAGTGGCTGCCTTCAGGTATTCCATGGGACGGACACCGCAAATCACCGCATCCTCTCGGCCGCAACTCAGGAGAATCCTGAGCTTTGTGTCAACACATCCAAGTTCTGCGCCAAACAGAAAGCCCCATTGCTCTGGGTTCATGCAGCTACACATCCTTTTCTTCCTTCCAAAAACCTTGAGCACAAGATTAGCAATGACCTCCAGGCCAGCCGGGCAGCGTAAGGTCCGTCAGCCCCCAAATCACGTTTTTCGCGATGAGGAGGGTGTTCCTGGTGTGACAGCTCCACTCAGACACCCTCCGGCCTAGCTACTGGCTGCACCAATGTCTAAGTACTGGAAACTCAATCCTCATCTGCGCAACAACTGCAAACCTGCGATGGGGCCATCCCGGCCGTAAGTTGGCATCAAGCTGAGCCCTCTCCAGGAACTGACCTACTATTCTAGGGATCAATATCTTACTGGCTCTTAGCAGGGAATATAGGATCATATTATATAGGATAGGGATGGTACAGGGATTGAAAGTTCCTTGAGACGCAAAACCTGTACTGCAAAGGCATGAAGCCTCAATAGTTACCAAGACTACTCCCGAACGTTCTCTGCATCATTACAACACATTATGCCGCAAAACCTTTTTCACATTAAAGAGGCCAACAGTACATATTTTTCTTAAGATTGTTTGCAAGGAGCCCGGCCCAGGACACCACATCAACCCGGAAGAAGGAGAACCACAGCCGCCACATCCTGAGCTTCGTTCTAGAGCCCAATCATGTGCTGGCTGTTAGGCTGTCAAAATTATGGTCTACTTTCAATGCAGCCCCAAATACCTAGGGCACCCGACCAAACATGCCTTTGACAAGCCCCAATGCATTTCCGCTTTCAGGCTTTAGGTGCAGATCTTGCAAATTAAGGTTCAGGATTTATGCTCAATCGCGAGAAGTGGCCACACTTATCGCAACTATGCCCTACATTTGTCCAACATGCACACCATTAATCCAGGCTACGCCTTGTTGGTCCAGGATGTGCCCCATTAGTCCAGGGGTATGAGGAGTTCTGAATGAATTGCGAGTCGCCCCATTCATCCAAACTACGCCTTATTAGTCCAGAATCCACCCCATGAGTCCAGAGTTCGGACTTTAACTTTGAGCCCCGTAAGTCCAAGGGCCTGAGGAGTTGTAATGCATTGTTTGAGCCGTGTCAGTGAGTATCAAAGTTAGGGGCCACCATCTGAAGGCCCTTGCAACCCGAAATTTTGGGATTCTGCTGGATGAGGTCCGTTGTCTTAAAACAAGCCCACGACAGCAGCCCAGGTCCAGCACTTGCCTCATAAAGGACTGCATGATGGTCACAAAGCATAGTCATGCGTGGTCCAGAAGAAATTGGGGGTTGGGTTGAAGAAAAAAAGTCAGTCCGATGCCCAAGCACCTAGTTGGTCGAGAGCAAGCCCCCAAGGGCGCGATGCCTTCGTTTAGGGGTTGTGTCTCGGTGGTCGCAGTCCTAGCTAAAAGCCTCCGAGCCCCAGAGCGCACAGGAATGTACGTCTATTCGAATGTATTGCGTATACAGCCAGCAAGGTGACGCTATCACCACGAGATGCCAAGCCACAAGAATGGCAGCTGCAGAAAAAGCAAGGACCTGACCGCGCACTTTCAGTAGCCTTTGAATCATAAGTTTGCTTTGGCCACACTCAACGCCCACAACGTATGCGGAGCATGTCTGCCAGGCTCAAATTCCGAGGGGTAATTTCATGAGCCATTATCAAAACTCCTTAAAGGGGATTGTATAAAGAATTATACAGGGGATTACTATAAGGGATATTAAGGGGGATACTAGGAGTTTAGACTCTAGCTCACATGAGCCATGGTTGGCACCTCAGGGCATCAAGCACCTGGGCGCGTCGCTCGAATCGCTGTTGCTCGCTGCCTTGGCCTTACTTGGAGGGTCAGGAGGACTTAGCAAGTGTAGTAAGAACAATGGAAAAGAAAATGGAAACTACTATATGTTGTTTAGGGTTTAAGGTTAGGGGGACTTAGTAATTACTGAAGAGAGTGCGACCAAACATCACACAAATCTCGGGAGTTGCCGTGCAAGTTACAAAGGGAAGGAAAATCTGGCTGAAAGACTCAAAGTCCCAAAGCATTCCAAAAGCCTTGGCCTGTGGACTGAAGTAACTCGTGTGGACCCTGAAGCCCTCAACTCGATGACCTTCAGCTCCCTCCTCTCATGTACTTATTCCGTCTAGGCATCAGGTCACACCGCTTGAAAGGAAAAGCGAACCCTAAACCCTAAACTGGAATTCCAAATGCCCAAGGAACTCGTAAGTGCAGCTAGGCTGCTCAGATCACCACAGTCGAGCCAGCCCCTGCCTCAGATGGGCAGCATGGACATGGGTGATTGTCAAAATTATGGTCCCTTTTTGGATCCCTATTATAATACGGCACCTAATATCTATGGTACTGTACCCAAAAAGGGATGATAATTTTGACGACCACCCACATGAAAGTATCAGTGTGTCAAGTTAACTGGCCAAACTGCTACATACCGCACGCTTGCGCAGTGCACGTGCATGATCATGCACCGGGGCATTGGCTCAGGAAGACCTGAAGCAAGCCATCGTTTTGCTGGGTTGCTGTTCAGGACCCTAGTTTAAGATGCCATAACATGGGCATATAGTAAGTCATAGGGCTTCCTTATTATAGCAACTAATTTCCATTCCTTAACAGCATCCCAGTTTGAGTACAACCTGTCCACCCATCAGATGAGGTACAGGATCCCGGGTCCTCTGCTTCTAAGTCATGCAGGAACTCTTCGTCCTCTCCAGTCACCTCAGGTGCCAACAGAACCGGGGGAGTCCCTGTTTCGGTTCCCCACGCTCACCTGGCCCAATGCCCCTTCGTTTGGCCACGGAAACCATCGTCTGTCTATAAATGCCAATGGCTGCTATCCCTAGCGCAGATCAACCATCGCTCTGCATTACTATGTCAGATGCTGTTCGCAAGTCTTGCTTCTTTGCTTGAAGTTTTGCTACTTGCAGCCATGTCACCGGGCAGCAAACTTCCCTGATCTCCCGCATGTACGAAAAGTGTGGGTGCAGCTGATCCACCTGCGGACAAAAGATGAATGGCGCTGATTCATGTCTGGATGCCAAGATTACCGGGCTCCATATACCATCGTATCATGTTGAGGGAGCATCACGACAGTGATTTTGGGACTTCCTGTTTTACAAGCTAAGTGAGTCCTTCGACGTCTGGTGATGTGCGGGGTTCTGCGAAGAAGCGTTTCAGTTCCGTGAGGGGGGGCCGACAGCTCTTGACAGCAGAGGGGGAGGCCACTACGAGGAAGGGTGCTACATGCTGCTGAACAAGCCCCCTTTCTTGGTACCGGAGCGTTCAGCATTGTGGCTGAAATTGACTCATATCATCCATATTCCATAGCCTGATGCAACGTGGGACAAGCAGAGCTGAGCAGATTCTACATGTCCAAATAGATTGGAACGCCACAATGCAAATGATGGTGATATTCATGATGGCGATGAGTAGAACTACTTCTCAAGGTTTCCGTCTTAAACCCTAGACTCTGCCCTAAACCCGGACAAAGGTTAAGCACACGGCTTCGCTACCCTTCCTTCAATGAAAAACAACCCTTCCAAGCATTCTTTGTGATACCCAATGAATGTGGGTTGTAGTATTCGGAGGTGTATATTCTACAATAATTAATTAATAAGGATTGCAATATGTGGGTTTATATATACATATATATATACATATATATCTTGAGGTCTTCCTATTCTGGGATTCATGGACCCTCTAAGCCCTCCCTAAATCCTAAACCCTAAACCTTTTTGCAACAGGCTTTCTGCGTCTGGAGCACGGAGCACAGTAACGTTAACCCTAAACTGTAAACCCTAAGCCCTAAGCCCTGCTTTTGTGTCAGAGATGGTGCCTGGATGGTGGCAACCTGGGGCTGCTGGTCGTCTGTGAACCTCAAGAAGGGTAAGCCTACTTGAAGGGTGAGGGGGACTTCGTAACTATACTAATGATGGAAAAGAAAATGGAAACTGCAATTTTATATAAGGTTTAGGGTTGGAGGGTCAGCGGGTCTTAGTTAAGGGTTTAGGAATTCAGGGGTTTAGGGTGTAAGGTTCGGTTTAGGGCTTATGGTCTAGGATTTAGGGAGGAGGTTAATAACCTCTATAACCCATACATAAACCCTAGTTATCCCCCTTGTGAACCTATCAAGTCCCCCTGACCCTCCAAGTAGTGTTCAGGTGAATTGGGCCTTTCCCCAAATTAGGGGCACCTTTTTGGAGGTCCCCATAATAAGGATTATAGAAGATTGGGGTCTATAGTGGAGTCCCCCTATTTTGGGAAACCATCAATTCGCCCAATGAAGGGTTGGGGCTTTGCAGTTGAATCTCTGCGATCCAGGACGTGAATGTGAGTCCACCTGAGGAACCCAGTAGACACGACATGCTCAAATGAATTCTAGAGGGTGAAGGGCAGCTGAACAGTGCGTTCCAAAATGTGAAGCCTTCAACTTGCCTCGCGCCCTGGGATGAGCGACCTCGCGGTATTCTTGATAGCGTCTGGTTATGTTTGGCTGGCTCTCATCAGGGCAATGGAACCTGTCGTGCTGCGCGGCACCTGAAGATCCCTGAATCACTGACGGCCTAGATCCTTCTGAGGAGCTCCACCCTGTAGCATCCACCACGCTCCGGAAAGGCCATGCCCGGTCGAAGCTTCCATAAAGAGGGCGAACGCCTGGCCGAATGCAGCAACATTTCTTGAGGTTC